ACAAACATGTTACAGGAATAAAACTCACCATGACAATAAAAAATAAAAGAATAAATCTTTTTTTTTTTAAGTAAAAAAAAAGAAAAGACAATAAAATAGATGAACAAATAGATCTAAATAAGCAAAAGACGAGAACGATTCTGAACGTGTGTCATTTTTGTCGCTTCTCGTCTCCGATAATTTCCTATCACAGTATTACTTTCTGCCCTTTTTCTGACCAAGCAAACCAATTCCAGAGCGACATGCAGGCTGAATCTCTGCTCCGCTAACCTCAGATCTCTCTCTCTCCCTCTCTCTGTCTCTCTCTGTCTCTCTCTGTCTCTCTCTCTCTCTCATTTTCTCTCACACACACACACACACACACACACACACACTCTCTCTCTCTGTATGTATGTATGTATGTATGTCTGTCTCTCCCTCCTTTTCCCCTCCCTCCCTTCCTCCCTCCTTGTTCCCTCCTCCACTCACTCTTTCACCTCCTCCTCTCTCTCTCTTTCTCAGTCTATCTCAGTCAGTCTCTCTTCCTCCCTCCTATTCTCTCTGTTTTTCCTCCCTTCATCTCTCTCCCTCTCTCTCTCTCTCTCTCTCTCTCTCTCTCTCCCTCTCTCTCTCTCTCCCCTCTCTGTTCCCCTCTTCCTCTCTCTTTCCCCTCCTTCCCTCCTCTCTCCATCTCTCTATTCACCTTCTCTCTCTCTCTCTCTCTCTCTCTCTCTCTCTCTCTCTCTCCTCCTCCCTCCCTCTCTCTCTCTCTCTCTCTTCACCCTGCCTGTTTGGTCTGCAACCTGCTTCTACCCAAGGATCTTTTCTATGTCGCGGATAAACTAGTGGTGTCCGTTGCACAAGAAGCCTACAAAGTCACCAATAATACAACATGTTTAAGAGAAGACAGGAAATTAAGTGAGTAAATAGCTGAATTAATGAAGTGTATAGTGTATATTGTAACAACAGGCAAGTTTGATGGAAAGAGAGGTAGAGGCAGACAGAGGGAAAAGATAATGGACAAGATGACAACATGGATAGGAGGAGCAGCAAGAACAACAGACACCACTGCTGCATCGCAAGACAGAGTGAAGTGGAGGTCCATGATCGCCCATGCCAGTCGACAAGGCACCGGATGATGATGATAGTGGTACGACACAACAAATATTCAAAATCTGCAATGACAGCGAAAGAGTTGACTGAACATTAACAATAACTATAACACAAGGTCATCATTATCAACACGACAATTATTCAAAATCGGAAAAGTGGAACGACGGCAAAAAAAGTTGATTAAACTTTAACAATAACATTAACACAATGTCCATCATTATCAATACAACAATTATTACAAATTTGCAATGACAGCAAAACAGTTAACCAAACATTAATAGTAATACATGTAGTAACATGTCCATCTTATTCTTATCAAAATCAATTAGCTAGTACGAGTTTCGTTATGCTACAGACTGACACATATTTTATGCAAGAAACACCATACATATAAATTAATAATAGAATGTGACGGCTAGCTGTTCAGATGCACTAAGCCCAAAATTTTGAACATTTTCTTGTTGTAAATTGTATTGTAGATCTTAATCTGTGGTGTTGATTGCATATATTATGCGTAAGAAATGTTTTTTAAAAATTCAAATTTTAAATGTTAATAAAAAAGCAAGAAAGGACATATTCAATGGCATGGGCTTAGTACAATTGACTTAGACAGCTTGCTAATGAACAGTGGTTGCAGTTGCAACTATATGTTTTGTTGGCTGTGGCATACGTAAACAATTTAATTGATTGATAGTTTTTGACTGGGGGAAAGTAGGCCTACAGTGTGTATTCTCATGCACACAAATAAAATCATTAGAGACAACTTTCAGAGCCTCGTGTCACCCTTGCCTGGTCTTTTGAAAATGGTTGGGAATAGAAGACTTATAAGAAATGACACCTCTCTTTAAGCGTTTTACTCAATGTCACCAGTCTCATTTGGGAGACCACTGGAAAAGCCTGCGCAAAACTATCAGAAAATGAAATCACTAACTAGTTCAGATCATGCCTTATCACATTTTGGCATTGTGAGATTTGACCTTTCAGTGGGTGTTGCCTATTGTTGGAAGGTGCCACTGATGTAGTACATGTATGTAAGTCCTACTTCTTCTTTTTTTCCTACTACTATTCTTGCGTGATGTCTGTGGGTGGTTGGTGGGTGCTTTTGTGTGGTTTGCTCCTTCTTTCCTATCAAACATCTATCGTCCTTATCTCTGCTCCTTCTTTTTTGTGTTTGTTACTCTCTTGTGACACCTCTAATCTTTGGCACTTAAATGACCTTATTGTGTTGCAAGTGCCGTAAAACACTAATTAAAAAAAGAAAAACATGATGTCTGCCTTTTTTTTACCCCAGCACTAAATGGCCATTTACTATGCCCATGTGCTTCTCTTTACCCTTTACTCAAACAACAACGGTGGGTGTGCAGTGCAGAATATCTCAGAGCCACGTAGATCTATTCAGGAAGTTGGACTCCATGCACAGATGTTTGCTTATTAACCATGTACGTGTAGTCGCCTCACCCAAGTGGCCGGCCATCATGAGGGATTTTAACTGTATTTAGATCATTTGTGCAAGAGCAGGACTTACTTTACCTTTACTGTTTACTTTTTCTTATATCATTAGAATTTAAAGGGATCTACAATTTTGGGCGGCTTCTATTGTAAAATTACTCTTTTGGCAGACCTATTTGATGCCATCCATTCAAGTTTTGTGTGTTCTACCCCTGCCTTTGTAGCCTGTTTCTCACAAGAACAGTGATACCAGGGGGAAAAAAAGAATTTGAATTTAATAAATAATTTAAAATGAATAATATAATAGATAATACCGGTAATGATGATAATAATGATACATGTTTATATGAAACACTGGTGTATTTGTACATTGTAGATCTGAAGATTCAGAATTTGACTCCACTGCTTTGTCTCAATAAAGTTAGGAATCATACTCAGATAACCTGAGGGTACACATAATTATTATCGTATGTAAAGGTTTAATGTATACAAAAAAGAAAATAATGTATCTTTTCTGTGATTCTGCTTTATGGATTCAGCAACACATTCCTGAAGGTGTCAGTTGGATTTACATAGCATTGCAGACTATAACCAATACCTGAAAAATGATAAAATGTCTATTGAGAGTGGGTGGTTGGCGGGTGCTCTGGTGTGGTTTCCTCAAAAGTATCCGGCACTTTTCTTGAACAATAATCGACTTTTCAATGTCGATCTCACAAGAACACCTTCTGACCTCTCCCCAGTTACAGATGTACATGTACATGTATATATGAATGTGTTGGGGGTTTTTTCCCACTTTGAAGACGTCATAGTGTGATTTGACACTGTGGACAAAAAACCAGTAGGTCGTTCTGATAGGCGATGATGTCATGCGTATGATATGGTAACGTCAACAAGTAGGTCATTCTGGACAACGATGAAGACGTCATGGTATGAATTTTTGGTATCGTGAACAACAAGTAAATCAGTAGATTATTCTGAATAGCGATGGCGTCATGGTATCAGCTTCCGGTGGTACACAATCTTCCTCACGACAATATTTGCCAGGATCAGAGAACACATCTGAAATAAATAAATAAAATATATTATGACAATCAGAGAAACAGACGTTGCTAGTACATTTGTACAAACATGTATTGTGTAATTATTTCTGCTGTATATTTCCGCTTAGTACATTTTTCTGTAGTACTCACCTTTAGGCTGACTCTTCCCTGCGAGAGAACGTATGTACTTTTTTATGTGTGGGTGGTTTGAGGGTGCTCGGCTGTGGTTTGCTCCTTCTTTCCCATCAAACATGTAATCTATCGGCTTTATCTTTCCTATCAAACACCTATCGTCCTTATCTTTCCTCCTTTTTTTGTGTATTTGTTACTCTCTTGTAGTAAGTACTCCTAATCTTCGGCACTTATAATTAAATATTATGACCTTATTGTGTTGCTAGTGCCGTTAAACTCCTACTAAAACAAAACAGATTGTCCATATATATA